TAAGTAAAAGTAGGTAAAAGTAAGTTAATTCTATAATATTTAATATGGAAGCTTCTTAGAAGCTTATTAGATGCTGCTTTGACTTCATAGGTGTCTTTAATTGACTTTTTGGATTAGAAATGTGGTCAACAAGTTGGCCATGTGCCACACATGTTGTTAGCTTGAAGATCAAGCTAACTATGTGGCCCACACATAGAAAAACTTGCCTTGTAAATGAAGGCATGTACCCTACAAAGTTAATACATATTGGAGGTCCTATAGAACGTCGCCACGTAGCTCCTAGTTAGATAATATATATAGAGACAAGAGTGAAGGCTTCTTCACTCTTGTCAACTCCTTTCTTGCTTCTAGTCTAGTTTCAAGGGTCTCTAGTTTTCTTGTCTTTTGGCAATAGCCATTCCAGTTTCTCTTTCAATATATATACTTATTTATATATATTTTTTTACCTCTCTTTGAGTGAAGGCTCACTTGTCTGAATTGTTTTTTCATCAACTTCTTGTCCTTGACAATATGCTATTGAATTCCAAAATCTCACTTGTAACAAAGATTGGAATGATAAAGTCCTTATTAATATAGATTGAAGAATAATGTTAAAAAATTATTATTGACAATGCCAAAAGTAAAATCTTTAGAATAATTTATTACTCAAGTCATTACATACAAAAATCAATTATTTGAAAGGCATCAAGAACAATAATTTGGCTTAGAAAGAACAAGCTAAGTAATATCCGTAGCTCCTAAGTTTTCAAAAACTTATTTATCAAGGTCAAAACCAATGTAAATTGATATAATATGTTTTAAACTCTTCATTAAAAAAAAAAAGACTTGACGTCATCAAGAAGATTTGTACTTATATTATAAAGAAACTAAGTTCATTATTCAACATTGTCCAAAAAAGTAATACAATTACAAAATGAAGAATATAATTGCCAAAGAAGATAATGTATCAAAAAACAAGTTTTTCTACCTACAATAGGAATTGTGTAACTGGAATTATGTGCAATACATAGTGAAGGTCCTATTTTCTCTTTAGATTTTTTATCTTATTTTATAATAGATGTATGTTTAGGACCTTGAAATTACAAAGTCTTTATATTATTAGATTTAAGAGTCTCAACTTATTTTATAGACAAAGACTTTGTCAAGAAACAAGAAATATCTTTAGTCAAGAAAACTAAATCCGTAGATGAAGAATTTATAAATTAATATTTGTTGTTTCCTAAAGACATTGTATTGTAGTTTCGCTACCATGTGAAAATAATGAACATAGATATTTAATATACAATTTACTATACAATGTGGTCAGAGCCACATTATTAGATTTTAATTAATCACAAAATATGGTTAGATTATTACTTTGAAGTAATTAGTTTAAAAGAGCTATTATTGAGGTTGATTTTATATTGGTAATAATTTTATATATTTAGAGCCACTTTTAATAGGCATTGGTGACTCTTGAAATCTTATTTTATTACTTTTATTTGATGTTTAGAGCATATATTATATAGATCTTATAAGAAAAAGAGTTAGAGAGGAATTTTGGTAGCAAAAAGAGTAGTTAGAGTGTCTATATGGATGAATGGAAATAGATGATGAAAATCTCCATTCTTATTGGCCAAAATTCATATCCAATTATTAGTTTGGAGCTACAACGAGGTATTTTTAAGAAGTCAATTGGAATGATAGAAGGTATTATGGTAGCAAAATTTGACAAAGAAATTGTAGCATAGAAGATATGGCGAAGCCATCTTAGATGGAAGCTTAAGTGCAATACTTCTTAGACCAGATAGCTACTTTGCAAGGACAAATAGAAGCTTCTAAGGTGAGGGAGTTGAAATTTGCTAGGCTGAAATTAAGCAAGCTTGAAACATATTTTGGAACTTTAAGGCAAGAAGATGTGTGCCAATGGCTCTTCAGCCTATGACAATACCTCCAACTATCTTAGACAAGTACCATTCAAGGAATTATGTATGCAACTAGCTATTTGAGAAGTGTGGCAGCTATTTGGTGGCAACATCAAACTCAAAACTATGGATCTCAAGGTGGATTTTATAACTGGAAGGAATTTGAGACCAAACTTAGGAATTGATTTTAATCCATTAATATGAAGAAGTTAGCATGTCATAAATTAACTAACCTTATACAATCCAAGTCAGTGCAAGATTATATCTCTTGATTCAAGTCCTTATGTCTCCAAATTAGCAACATTTTAGAGGCAAAGATGATGGATCAATTTGTATGAGGGTTGAAACCTATGATTCAGCGAGAAGTAGAATTAAAGGATCCGCATACATTTAAAGAAGCAGTTAGGATTGCAGAGAGGGTCAATGTTATAGATTTCTGAATTGTAGAGTATGACTTATAAAGTAAAAACTTATGCTACTATCCAATACTATAACATAACAACCAATGCCAATTAAAACTGACACCTTGCAAGGACCATTGGCACCATAGGGATGACAAATATTGAGACAAAAGAAATTGTATTATTATTATTAGGAGCCATGCCATCAAATTAGAGATTGTCTAAAGCGTCAAAATTTAAGTACCAACAAATCAAGATAGATTCACAATCATGAAGGTCTTTAAAATGATAGAAAAGTGGAATAGGAAAATAGAACTTTTTAGTAACAGCATCGAGAGCTAGTATTAGAAATAGTTGTTGCCATTTTCATGACCTTGGAAAACTATCAGAAGGATCGATTGGTGTGTCTAGCAAGTCGTCTAAGAAGACAACCATGTCAAGTGCTTATAGATTGCAACTCTATAAACAAATTGCACCTTGTTTGAGATTATCAACCAACTTGGGATTAAAACCAAGGTGATCAAAGGAAGAAGCATATATCTAGTTGATGACCAAGAAAATGTATTGAGGCATGTGAAGAAGAAACCTTAAGGTTGGATGACACCTATGTCTTGAGAGAGAAATTCAAGGTAACAAAGTTTAGATATGATGTTATTCTTAGTATACTATAACTAGAAGTGGAAAATAAGCAAGTTGATTGGCTAACAAGGACAACCTCCTATAAAGACGATGGATGCAAGGTGATTCTTCATGCTTATTCATCGAGTGAGAAAATAAAATAATTTGCAACTAAAAACTTACTTGTAAGGATAACTTCTATGAAGAAGCAAATACAACATAAGCAATTAATATATATGGTAGCTCCAAATCTTACCTCAATGATGGAAAAGACAACCAAAGGAGCAAAATAGGCAAAACAACTTATATATTATCATGTTACATGAAGCCTTGCTTAAGAATATACTAAGCACCTTATTGTAGAAGGTAGAAGGAATATTGCAACAACAAGATTTTAATTCTAATAGAATCCTAAATAACTCCAATTAAACCGTAACAAAGCTAATCAAGCTTTAATCAATCCAAAGAAACCTCAAAAAAATTATGAAAGAAGCATGAAGAAATCCTAAAGAAATTCAAAGGAAGTAATGAAATAGAACCCAAAATATATCTTAAATAAATTCCAACCAAATCTTACTCTAACCCCAGTAGTCCTTACTGAAATCCTGTTAAACCCTAACTAAACCCTAAACAAACCCTAAATCAGCTCGGAAAAGAATTGGTATCATGCACAAAGCATAATAAATTTGTCAATTCCATTACTCACACCTCTACTTCATAATCTGCTGAGACCCCAGGCACACCGCTGGTGTGACGTCACGACAACACTAAAGCAAGATTCAGTAGATGTCAGGGCCAATCAACAGTGTTGCCAAATTCCAATCGGTTCGTTCGCCATGAGCACACCCTGCCACGTAATTTGTGCAGTTAATAGACCTCAAATCTCATTACCCTGCCGCTGGTCTGGGTCGAAGGTCCTGCACGGACGCTGCATGTCGAGGTAACAGCTCTGTGCTCAGCCCTGTGCCCATCAGATGCAGCCAGTCTTTTAGAAGACCACCTTTTAGTAAGTACCGTGTCGATGTTTCATGGCCGAGAGGCTTGTGCATAGCGCCGGTCGTCCAAGTCCAACGACGAACAGACCGACAGACCGACAGACAGAGCGCGAGAAAAGAAACAACCCGGTTGCATAACATCAATGTCACACAAGGAGGAAGGACAGATATCTGCACATTCGTGAATCGTTCCTCCATCCACACCCTCGGTTTTCGTGGGCACTCCCTCACATTTGTACCCGACCACACAAAAACCCATTGCATGTACCGAACGGTGGAAACCCGGTCGTCGGACACAGGCTCAACCAATCCACGATTTTATTGCAAAATGGGAACTGTACATTATAGAACTCTGGTGTCCACAAAGGTTCGCACACAGCGGAGAGACTCTTCATGATGTGATGTTCAAAAACAATAACGAACCAAAATTCAGAGTTTGGGTTCTGAGTTTGGGTGACGCATCTCCAACCGAACCGGACCGGAAACAGGGCAGGCGGTACATGGTGCACGTCTTCGCACACAATGCCCGATCGAAGTTTATCCAAGCGCTGAACGAGATATCTGCAAAGCCTCCCACTAGAACAAGAAGTCTGTCGTCAAGTCTGCCCGTGTTATAGACTCAACCGCAACTTTCGACACGGACGTACACGAGCTCTGCCTCTGGATGCCACCCTCTCCATCACATCAGAGTAGAATTTGATCACAGTTTGTTGCGAGGGATCCTCCACAGGTCACTCGAAATAAAGGTTCAAGGATTGTACAGTTCCTGCATTCCACAAACAGCGACATTTTCCCGACAAGGTCAATGTTCACTCACGTAACGTTGACCGGAGTACAGAGGTCGAGTGAAACAGTTGAAACCGACGATCTAATCCATCCAGGGACCGAGTCACAAATTTGAGCCCATAACTCAATCTCCAGGGAGTTTAGTGCTGTACATCCATCGTGTCGTTGAGCACATGTAACACTTTGCACGCCGCTTGCTGGACTTCCTGGCGCTCTGCTTCTAGTTCGTCTTTGCGCAGCAATGCTTGCTTTCGAGACTGGCGCAGCCGCTCCGTGATGTCATCAGAGCTCCCTTTTGTCTCGCTGAAAAACAAACATATCGCTAGTCCTCCGTGAGCTATTCTCGAACAAGGCAATGATGGTCCGCAGCAAAAAACATGGTGAAGCGCTATGATGGCAAACGGTTACTCGCTCTCATGACCTCTGAACTCTTGGAATGCAAATGGAATTGCGACAGGCGAGGTACTTATTAGTGACGAAGGGAAAACACGAGTTCAAGTCATGGTTGATGTTTGGGCTCACTATATGAAAGGCTGCAACACTTCCTTCGATGACGTAAACTGCTGGATGCAGTCTGCGGTCACAAACGAGAACGGTGAGGTTCGACTCTTACCAGCCTCAGGCTCTCATTACGCATTCAACATCTCATCACGATTACATCGATAGTACTCGGCAGGACGTCGCATCTCGACGGATATGGTCAACAAGTTTCGACTTATCTCTGACTGAACGCTACAAGCCCGTGACTTTCTTAACAGTGCGCTCCGTGCAAACAACCGTTCCATCTATACAAGACCAACAAATGCGCCATATCATCCTCAAGTTTGATCGAGCGCACGCTACCGTGACCCGAGGCTCGGCAACATCGTTGCGGGATGGCAACGGTGTCATGACTGACTGCTTACAATTTCTCCACACATACGAAGACGTCACCTGTGCCGCTTACGCTCGCCCAACGATTACCTGGTGAAGGCTGCGCCATCTACTCCCCGCTTCGTCACAACGGAATCAACGTTCACGCACTAGTTCCGTCAACCACAAGACGACTCCTCAACTCAGGCCATTCTGCGTTCCCTCTCACCTAGAATGATCTTGCCTCGATCGTGCACATATGTTTGCTTCTGAGCAACAAGCTGTTAGGGTTCCAATATACCCCCTTAGCAAATATTTGTGGACGGTAGGGTTTCGCCTCCTAAAACACCAAAATTCAGGAGATGTTGGGTGATTTTTGGACTGGGTAGGGGTTTCATGAGGATGTCAGCTTGCATCTCGTGTGTAAGGCAATAAACAAACTGGAGTATTTGAAGCGCTGCAAATTGAAATGGTACCGCACCGCTATGTGCTTGGTGCGGGTATGAAATTTTGTAGTGTCAACCAATGCGAGGGCAGATTGGTTGACACAAAGTGTTGTAGTGGGTTCAGAGAGATTTTATCGAAGGGTGTGTAGCATGTCGCAGCCAGACCACCTTGGAAGCAGCCATGGCTATAGCCATGAATTCTACTTCTGTACTGGATAGGGTTGTGGTTTTCTTTCGGGTTGAATCCCAGCTTACTGCATCGTGAGATTACATGAAACAGTAACCGGATGTGGAGCGGCGCTGGTTGATCTTGCCTGCCCAATTCCCGTCACCGTATCTGAACAGGGAGCAAAGGTTGGGTGCGGCAGTGCGGCGGTACTCAATGTAGTAGCCAAGACTACCATGCAGATACCAAAAAAAACATGTTTACATGCCTAGATGTGCGCAGCCTGGGATAATGCATGTATTGGGCAAGGAGGCTTGTGGTGAAGGCGAGATCGGGCCGTGTGAACACGCAAGCCCAATTGAGAGAACCGACGGCATTTGCATACGGAAAGGTGGAGCAAGTTGCACAAGCCTCGGCCATCAATGGACAATCCAGCGCCAAAAGCTTGGTCTCAAGAGCTATTGGGGTGGAGACAAGGTAAGAGACATGGAAGCCAAATTCCTGCAATTTCTGTTGCACATAAAATGTTTGATGTATTTGAAGTCAGTCTTGATTTATGTCGCGGTTGATTTGCAAGCTTAGATGGTGGGCATTGCCGAGGTTAGAAAGAAGAAACCGGCCATGTAATTTTTTGCTTGACTCTTTGCAACAACGAGATGCTGTTGCTTACAATGAATGTGTCATCCACATATAGTGTAAGGATGGCAAATGAGGAGCCTTCTTGGAGGTAGTAAACATTGGTATTGAGTCAAGTTTTTAAACCCGAGAGTGGCTAATAAGTTCCATTGGAACAAAAGGTTCCATTGGAACAAAAGGCAATTGTGTAAAAAGAACATATTTGCTTTTTTTGGGCCAATGTGGTTTGCTTCTGGGCAATAGAGAAGGAGAATTATTGTTTTTCTCCAAGGCTCAAGCCGGAGATACACCTTTGTTGCTACAAGCAGAGGTGTGGCGCTGGATTGGGGAAGTTGTCGCAAACGGGGGTGGGGGGGGGGGGTTCTCAAGAGCATCACTATTGGTGTCGTCGGGAGTTGCAGGATGATCATGGTGATTATGCTGAGTATGTCAGCTAAGATGCGGCATTAACTCGAGAGTGGAGTGGGGATTGATCATCCGCGATAGCTTGTAAGAGGAGCTAGGGGGACTGAGAAGAGCATCAGGTTGTGAGTTGTGTGGAGCAAGCGCTGAGTTAGGCGCTATTGACAAAGGCAGAGCGGGTAGCGGGGTGATGGTAGTCGGAAGCAGAGGTGGTGACGAACCACGTGAGATTCGCACTAGAACGACTGAAGAGGAAGGGGAAGATCGAGATGGTAGCTCGGCGGATAGCGGGAGAAGTACCTCAATATGGCCAGTGCCATTGGGAGTTGGCTCTGAGATAGTTGAGCGGGTAATGTCTTTGGGATGCTTCATTGGCAAGGTGGTCGTAGTGGTGAGCGTTGGAAGGCTTGACAAGGGCGCTGTTGGAGGTGAGGTAGAGCCTCATATGATGTAGAAAAGCGGGTCACTTTGTAAGTGTGTATCCAGAAATTCAGCAGCATGGGGTTGAGGGATTTTAGTTGAGAATTGCTGATCCTGAAATATTACATCGCGGAAAATCAGCATATCTCCAGTGCTGACTTTTTGCAGTTTATATCCTTTATTTTGAGAACTATATCCAAGGAGTATGCATTTGATAGAGCGATCATCGAGATTCACTCCTAGTTTTAGCAGGGATTTGAGCATAAGCTTTGCTCCCAAAAACGTGAAGATGCAAAAACGTGAAGGTGGGAGACATTAGGTTTGCATTTATGCCAAAGTTCAAATGGAGTTATATGTAAACGAATGGATTTGGTGAAGCAACATATCTAAAGCTATGTTGCTCACGTAATTGCTTTACCTCAATAGGGTTGGGTGAGTTTGGCTTCAATAGGGTTGGGTGAGTTTGGCTTCAATAGGGTTGGGTGAGTTTGGCTTCATGAAGCATACATTGGGTTGCATTCAAGGTGCAATTTTTCTATTTTGTCATGGAGTGTATGTTGTTGTAAGTTGACATTGAATTCCATTGGTAGTGAAGTATTGATTGTAGTTGGAGGACATGTATTCTCCTCCTTGATTAGATTGTAGGATTTTAACTTGTAATTGATTTGATTATTGGCCTATACATAGAAAACTTTGAATACATTAAAGTATTGATTCTTGTAATAGAATAATTGGAGCATAATATAAAAAGAGAGTTACAAGTTACATAATACTCAAATCTAGAGTAGGTTGAAATAGCAACATAGTCACATAATTCAAAGTAGATAAGTAGATAAGGTCAAGTAGATGGGAGACATTTGGTGGCAACTTGCTTCCCATGGAGACATGTAGAATATACATGATGTGAGATTTTACTTATTAATAAGCTTGTGATAGCTTCATACTTTATAAATTGATTGAAATAATTGGAACTTATATATATCTTAAGTATTGATACTATAATTGTATTTTTATTTTGGTAAAATTGTGATGGGCCTAAATTTGAGCTAAAACAAATCTTAGAGCTTTGGAGTAGTGCATTGCATGTCATTTTTTTAATGAGTGTCCTTACATAGGATTTGTTGTTGCATATTGGTCTTCTTGGAAAATAATGTTAGTAGTACTAATAGTGAGATGGAGTACTAGAACCAAGTTCAACATGTTAAGAAGTATAAGTTATCATGGAGTGGACATTTAGCAAGTATTGATACTCATTGCAAAAGAATCATTAATAATTTTTATTCTTTATTAGTATTTCTCCATTATGTTAGTTGTAATTATTAATAAAGAACAAGTTTATTTTACAAATTTGGAATATAGAAGGTGATGGTAAGTTGGATTATGTGACCATTCACTATTATAATTTCTACCTTGTCTTATCGATATGTGAAGAGGATAATGTTATGACCAATTGTCACAAATATATATCCACTATAATTTTTACCTAAGTAATATGAATAGGTAGAAGTAGGTAAAAGTAGATTAATTTCATAATACCTTCTAAAAAATCTCTTGTCAATTCTTTTCTTGCTTTTAGTTTAGATTCAAGAATATCTAGTTTTCTTGTCTTTTGGCAATAGTCATTCTAGATTTTTTTTTAATATACATCTTTATTTTTATTTTGTCACTTTTTTTTGACATGAATTACACAAGTTTATATATCTTTTTTTAGTTCATATCTTTCATATATTGACAAGAGTGTACTTACAATATTAGAGCTATCATTTCTTGATTAAGAATGGATTACTTCTTTCTCTTGATAAGACACAAATATATTAGAAGTTGCGGATTACCCTCTTTTAAACTAATACTGTTCTTATTATTTTCTTTATTCTCAAGTCCTTTCTTTTGCTTGTCTTGAGCAATATTAGACATTTTTTTTTTCTAAGTATTATCATGGCAGAGCTTCTTGAAATGAAGAGTGCAATGATATAAATACAAGAGCAATTGAGAGATTTGATGATTGTGATGCATCAACTCAGTTTATTGCCACTAAGAGCAACAAAAATAATAGGAAGAGAAGATATAGACATAATTGGAGTTGCTTCAACATCTACATCGAATCATATCCCTTCTCCTATATTAAAATATCCTTCCAATGTTAAAGAACCCAAAGTTGCATTACTTGAGAAGTTTGTTGGCACAAGATCCAAATTTTGAGGATTTATCAATCAAGTACAATTTGTGATTGAACTTCAATCCCAAAGATATCCATCATGAGAATCATAAGTTGGATTCATTGATACACTTCTTTCAAGTTCACCATTATTATGATTTTTCATCTTTTCTTAAATGACAAAATCTAATATTAGATAATCTAAAGGCTTTTTCAGTGGAGTTTTGATCTATGTATAGAGAACATGATGTAATTCATATTACAACCAATAAGATTTGTATCTTATGACAAAAGAATTAATTGGTGATATCATATGCTTCACAATTTTAACAACTAGCGATTGATGTCCTGTGAGATGATGCCAATTTTTTCAGCCAATTTCTCTACGGATTAAAATATGAGGTAAAGAAGTTGTTAACTTATCTGATTTTGAAACATTGAGTCAAGCAATTGACTTTATTATAAAGTATAAAAATTGGCTTTTTAAGTTTTAATCTGAGAATTGTGTAAGAGAACCTTTATGTTATTACAATTCAATGATAACATTGATGACCGCTCAATCTAAATATTTTGAAGTAGAAGACATACAAATTGATGCAGTACATTTTAAACCTCTTACTTAATAAAAAAAAATACTCATTGTTATCAAAAATGATTGTATTTATATTATCAAGAAGCTAAGCACATTACTCAACATTGTCCAAAAAAACAACGCAACTATAAAATAAAGAGTATAATTATCAAAGATGAGAAAATGTTGCAAAAAAATTTGTTCAACCGCAATAGGGACCATACGGCTGAAATCTTATACAAATGAAGGTCCTATCCTCTCCTCAAAATCCTCTCCTTATTTTATAATAGATATGTATTTAGGACTTAATAATTACAAAGCCTCTGTCTTGATAGATTCAGGAGCTTGAACTTATTTCTTAAATGAAGACTTTATTAAAATCCATAGAATATCATTAGTACAAAAAACTAAACTTATTCATATAAAAGTTATAGATGGTTGTCCGTTATCTTCTTGAGATAGTATTCATAAAACTCTTCCTATAGATCTAACAATAAATGATCATAATAGTTGCATAATTTTTAATATAACTAAGTCTCTTTCTAATCCAATCATTTTAGGTTTATCATAGCTAAAAAAATATTAACTTTTAATAGATTGGATTAATAATAAACTTGACTTTCCTAGAAGCATAATTAAGAGTTTTATCGAAAGCCATGAATCTAGTATAGCCAAAGCCGTACTCGTAGGTGCAAAAGCTATTTTACATACTGCAAAAGAAGAATCATCTTTTGTTATTTATGTTACATCTATTTTTAATAATCGAAGGACTTCAAGTAGCATTCAAAGTCAATATTAAGATTTTCAAGATGTTTTTGAAAAAAATGCAAATATTCTCTTAGATCATTGTATATATAATTGCTCAATTGACCTTAAAAAAAGAAATTAGCCACCATTTGTTCAATCTACAATTTATCACAAAATATGTTGGCTAAACTTAAGAAGTATATTAATGAGAACTTGCCCAAGAATTTTATATGCCATTCCAAATCTCTTGCAGAAGATCTTATCTTATTTGTAAAAAAAAAAAGTTGAATCATTGTAAATGTGCATAGATTAGCAAGGATTCAATAAGATTATGATCAAGAATAGGTATCTTTTATTCTTGATATCTGGACTTCTTGATTAACTAAATAAAACTAAGATCTATAAAAAATATAGATCTATGAAGAGTATATAACTTCGTCTATATTAAAAAAAAGAAATGAATAAAAGACTACATTTTGAATAAGGTATGGACACTTTGAATATAATGTCATGTTTTTTGGACTCACGAATACACCAGGTGCTTTAAATTTCTTATGAATGATGTTATTCATGAAATTCTAGATGATTTTACTATATATTACTTAGATGATATTTTAATCTATTCTAAAAATATAAAAGAGCATGAAGTTTATATTCATCATGTGTTATAATAACTTAAAGATGAAAATTGTATGCCAAATTGGAAAAGTGTGTAGTCCACACTACTCAAGTTAACTTCCTAAGATATTGTCAAGGACATACACTAGGAGTTATAGAAAATTCTAGAAGATTCTAGAGAAGCTTTCTAGTTTTTAAAAGCTGCTTGAGAAGCTTCCTAGCTTGTGAAAGCTGCTTGAGAAGCTTCATAACTTGTAGTATATATAGGAGCCGAGATTGATGGGATCCTCAGTCTCGACAACACATCTCTTGGAGCTCTAGCTCACCTCTCTAGTTTTGTTCTTATACTCATCTGATTAAACTAATTCTTGTTGATTTTTTTTGAGCTTCTTGTTTAGATTTCCATTCAGTATTCTAAATTTGTGACAGTTTGTCGAGACTACACTCATCTTTCATATTAGAGCTAGTTCCTTCTTGTTAGAGTAGGGATTATCCCTCTACTTGAAGGTGTTGGCATTTTAGAGGTTGAAGATTATCCTCCTCTAAACTGATATTCTTCTATTATAATATTGGAGTCTTATCTTTCTTGGAGAGAATGGATTACCCCTCTTCTTGAAGGTTTTAAGGCTTTTTAGAGGTTGCGGAGTACCATCCTTTAAACCAATACTGCCTTCTTGTAGAGTCATTTCTTTACTTCTCGTAGAATGGCCGGAGGTCAAGATATTAGTATGACTGAAAGTTTGGAGTCCAAGTTGGATGCCATTATGAATACTCTTGCTACGTTATCACAAAGAACTATAGAGATCGAAAGAATCATTGCAAGACTTCATGATAACGAAGCATCTAGGATGGCACAATTGAGGATTCACTAGCATCAAGCTTCAGCACCAAGAGAAGCAACTTTGCCTCTAGTTCAATAAGGACCGTTGGTCTTACAATGAAAAGAGCCCTCAATTAGCCTTCTAGACAAGTTTGATGGTACGTATTCTAAGTTTCGAGGTTTTGTCAATCAAATTAGATTGATAACAGATTTACAATCCAAATGCTATCTAATAGAAGAGTCACTTGTTGGACTGGTTGAAACTTTGCTCATGGAGCAAGCTCTATCATGGTTTGCTCTTTTGTTTGAGAAAGGATCGTCAATTTCGAACAACTTCAAAAACAAATTGGAGGCATTTGCAGAAGCATTTAGTGAACATGACAAGGCGCAATGGGCTACAATAAAGATTCGGTCACTACGACAAGGGGCACGCTTCGTGTTAGTCTATGCATCAGATTTTAGACAATTAGTATGTGACATCAACTGAGACTAGGAAGCATTGATGAGTCAAT